TGTGCTCGCCGGGCTCGGGCCAGGCAAAGTGCTCTGGTGGAGAGATTAGAAAATCGTGTGTCAGAAAGAGTCGTCTAGATCGATGTGCTTCGCGTTTCTGGGGTGTTCGGGTTCCTTAACGTGCGTGTCTTCCTGTTGGGCACGTCAGGCTGTTCAGGGCTCCGTGTGACGGCGAGACTGGGATTTCTGCACCCTGTATCAGCTGCCGGGATACAGTACAGCTACAGCACTTCAGGGCTGAGTGCAGTTTGATTCTGGTCCTGATGTAGCAGAATCTTCAGTGTTTGTCTTTCGCATAAAACCAAGAGCATTGCCTTGTGCTCGGCCAGTTCCTGCAAGCCTCAGTTCTCTGTCTGCGTTCTCTTAAGCTGTAACACAATCAACCTTATGATGGCTTCTTAAAATATTTCTTGTTTTGCATAGTTTCCCTGCAGCGGTATCTTCAACAGCAACTGGGGGAGATACCAGCTGTTGATTTCTTTATTCCGTGTGTTCTTGTCCTCCCTGGAGGAGGTCAGAGCTGATCTTGAAGGGGTGCAGTTTTCTGAGAAGTGATGTGTTACCCATGTTAGGTCTGGCTGACTGGTTTATATGATGGTGCAGCTTCAAAATTCAGAAGGTACTGTGAGAGCACCTTGTATAGTGCTTGCTTAAAGGTAATGTGCTTCCTTGTTTAGTTGTGGGGGAGTATAAGACTAATCTGGAAAACAAGTAGTTTGTAAGGAAAAAAAAGCTGCATGTGCTTACACATATCTTGTGTTTAAAACAGTCTAAAGATTTGGAATTCTTGTTGAAAATTTCTTGGTTTTTTTCTTGCCCTTTCCCAGAAGCCAGAAATCAGTAATGGTTCTAGTGTGTAGTGTTTTTAGAAAAATAAATGAAGTTATTGTTCTGGCAGTCAGTATTAATCTGTGCTTGGCAGAAACTTGGAAGGCAGTTTGGTCTGACATCTGGCCACCTTGCTGGTCATCTGTGGCTGCTGCTTTCTCCTCAGAATGTGAAATAGGTACAACTGGGGTTTAGTTGCATACATCTTTGTGGGTTGAGCTACGGCCGATTGTTCTCTGAACACATACAGACTTAGTTTAGTCTCATGTGAATCACTGTTCTGTAGCTCCAGCTACAGATCCAAGCTGCCTTTGCTTGGCTCAGAGGGGTAAGCTAAAATCATTCAGTGTTCCTATTACTAAGCAATAGCACTCAGGTCAAACTTTCTTCTGGGCTCCTTGTTATTAATGCTATGTTTCGAACATAAGGTCCTCAGAATGTCTTGGAACGTGTTCTTGCTCAATTTTTTTCATGTTGGCTTCGTGAGGTGCAAATGAGTGTGTTGTGGTTGAGCCCCAGCTTGGGACTAAGCAGCACACAGCCTCTGGCTTGTGTTCCCCCAGCCCCACCCCAGAGGGATGGGAGAAGCAGCAAAAGTAAGGCTTGTAAGTTAAGAACAGTTTAGTAATTGAAACAATGTAAAATACAATAATAATAGTAAGTAATAAAAATAAAACCCCAGGTGATGCACAATACAGTTGCTCACCACCTGCTGACTGATGCCAGATCCCAGTTGGCCCCTTTCGGGTAACTCCCCCGGTTTACATACTGGTCATGACGTGTGGTGTGGGCTATGTCTTTGGCCAGTTTGGGTCACCTGTCCTGCCTGTGCTGCTTCCCAGCATTTTTTTGCACCTCCTCACTGGCAGAGCACAAAGCACAAAAAAGTCCTTGACTTAGGATAAACTCGATTTAGCAACAGCCAAAACATTAGTGTGTTATCAGCATTAGTCTCGTACTGAATCCAGCATTGTACCAGCTGCTGAGAAGAAAGTAACTCTAGAAGAAATTATTTCTAGAAGAAAATATCTTCAGCCCAACCAGGACAGACTGTTTCATGTATACTGAATTCATCTAGCTGAAGCAGATGTTCTCATGGAGAACATAGTGTAATTCCTAAAAAAAGCCTGAAAATCAATTAGTGAAGCATTGTCTGCTTTAGTACATCAAAGCAGATTAGTGCCTAATTCTTAGGAGGAAAATGTTGGCTTTTGTACTAATCTTGTTGAGTTTCCCATAGAGCTGCTAACATGTTTTGCAGCTTCTTGTAAGCAGTGTTTGTGCAAGATCAAAGGATTATCTCTGGTAGGTTCTTGTGTTTAGGGCTGGTCAAAGGTCTGAGCCTAGAGAATGCTCTGGTAAGGTGAGAACAGACTTTGCTGCTCATAATGGATTGGTGCCTGGAGCAGTGTTACAGGTAAACTAGTAGCACCCACTCTGATGGCAGAGTTGTGTAGCTGAGGTGGATTGTATGAAGAATTGATGCCTCTTGCAGCTGCTGGTGCTCTCTTTGTCTGCTGAAAGAACCAAGGGTGTAGGCAGAGGCAGCAAATTAAAGTCCCTATTCCCCTTTCCCAATCAGGGGGATGCTTTAGGCCTTGCATTATATCCCCTGTTGTTTCCTTTCACCCTACTTGGTCTAGTTTTTGTGGTTTTTTATTAGTAATGGTAATTAGTCTGTGTACTTTTTATAAACATTGTTTTGTAAGAGCCATCAGTGTTTTTTCTGACCCTATTCCAGTTATTGCTAGATGAACAACTGTCTTTTGCCATCACTGTTTCCTGGGTCTCTTAGTACATAATGGCTTTGTAACTCCATGGGAGCACAGTGTTTCCCCAGTGTACAGTCTGCAGCTGCAACTAAACACCATATTTAAAACCGAGTGTCCACTGTGGAGTAACTTACCCAACTCTTGTTATTCCAGAGTTTTCTTGGAAACCTTTTTGTTCCTGTTTGTGAGATTGATGTTGTTCTTAATGATGCTGAAACAAGAAAACCAGCAGAAATCAAAACAGAAGATGGTAAAGTAGAAAAATATTTTCTGTTCTACGATGGAGAATCTGTTTCAGGAAAGGTAAATACTTCAAAGTGGCTATTAATTACTGTGCTGATTCTGGCATGAAAGTGCATATAGGAGGGTAAATGAAAAACTGCTCTAAGAGCTGCATTTTCAGCTTGTGTTGTTATTCAAGGAGGAAACTGTTTTGCTCTTTGTGGTGTTTTTAGCCATAGTCATTCAGGCTATGTGAAACTGAATGTTTTGAACAGTAGCTGTTTAGCTTTTTCCGGTCATCTTGTACTGATGTGCTTTTTGTGCAAGATGTGCACTCCAAAATCCGCAACTCACCACACGTAACAGTAATTTGTGACTGATGCAGTCAGCCTGTTTTGCATCCCCTGAAGATAAGCTTTGTGTTTTGTGCCTTGAAGTGGCTTCTGCATTGCATCAGAGGAGCAACATACAAAGTTCAGCTGGCTGCTGAGTCCATGAGGGTTTTTCTTATTGGAAAAAAGACATGGAAGTTGAGATTGCCAGATGGATTTCTCTACTTTCAGTACTGCACCTAGGAACCCCTTGCCGTTGCTCTTGTTTTGCTGGAGCCATTCTTACTCTCAGAAGATTTGTGTTACAATTCACTTTTCCGTCAAAAACCTTGAGCTGGGTATTGGGTTCTGAGGATGACTTCTAAACACCTACTTTGATTTTGACTGACCTATTGTCACTGGGTATCTTCCTGCTCTGAAGATACCTTTCCATGCAAAGAGCTTGGTTCTCTAGAAAGATCCTTTTGAGGATGTGAAACTTTCACAAGATAGGTCTCAAACTCAGGAAACTGTGGGGAACTAACTTATGGTCACTGGCCTGAGCATTTCTCACTTGTATCAGCAATGCCTGAGAGGTACCTGATGAGTTTTGGCTAACAGCTGCAGTGGGATGAAGAGGCCTGGAAGACCATGGAGGCACTGGAGTGAGGCCAGGGAAAGGCAACGAGACTCATAACAGATCTAGAAAACATGTCATGCGAGGAACAGCTGAGGGAGTTGGGTTTGTTTAGCCTTGTTAGGCTCTACAGTAACCCAGAAGGGGGTTGTAGGGAGGTGGGGGTGGTCTCCTGCGAGGACTAGAGGGAATGGCCATAAGCTGAGACAGGGGAGATTCAGTTTAGAGACTAGGGAAGAGTTTTTCCCTGTGAGGGTGTTCAGGCACTGGAATAGGTGGTCGGGGGAGGTGGTGGAGTCACCATCCCTGGAAGTGTTTGAGATGTCTGGACCTGGCACTGGAGGATATGATTTAGGGTTTAGGGGTTACAGCAGAGTGGCAGGTTAACAGTTGAACTTGATGATCTTAGAGGTCTCCTCCAACCTTGATGATTCTGTGATTCTAACAGTAATTTACTGGACAGCTTCCCTCTACCTCCTCCTCTTTTTCAACACAGAGATTATTCAAGTGGTTTATTTCCTACTCAGATATCGACAATGTACTGGATTTTAAAGTAGAGGAATTTCTCTAGTCATCACTGCCTCGTCAGAAATCTTTATATATGCTTAATATTTGCATGTTTCAATAGAAAGTAATCTTGTGGAATCAATTCAAACCCTGTTTGAGTATCAAAGTCACAAAGAAGGTCTTCATTTCATTGTCTGTTGTTTTTCATTGACTTCTCCAACACCAATTCTTAGCTATCTGCCAAGGACGGTACTGAAGCTCACTTGACTTGAAAGGAATTTATCTCATGCAGTTATGTTTTGGTTTTCCAAATGAGACTGTCAGAAGATGCTTTGAAGCTCTCAGCCTTCAAAGATGGCGAGAAGATCATGACTGGGTTATTTGAACAAGCTCTGGCTTGGGTTCTTAATTTTAGGACTTGAAAGTTTGAAACTGTGTTATTAAATTCAGTCTTGTGGGTGATTAGTTATTTCTTGAATGCTTTAGCGGTGCTTTGGAAATGGTTAATCAGCTGTTTGCCTTCAAGTGAGATGGTGTGTTAGAGTGAAAGTGTTGAAAAAATTTAACTGTTTTTTTTTTTTACCCTGTTAGGTGAACGTCTCCCTTAAGCATGGGAAGAGACTAGAGCACCAAGGAATTAGAATTGAATTTGTAGGACAAATTGGTGAGTTTGAGCTATAAAGGGGATGTGAGGTGCTTGTGGCTTACAGACTTGGCACTTGTGACTGTCAGCATTATGGCTCAAACAATGCAACCTGACTAGATTAGTGGGTGGTAAGTGCCAAAGGAAGGTTATAGCCTCCTTATTTTAAGGCAAGTGATGTACTAGTTTGTGCTAGTCAGAGAGTCACTGGAGGAAAATATGTACACGTGAGGAAGAACTGGGATGGTGAGTGCTCTGTTGCAGACTAGTTAAAAGTTTGATCAATAACCACTAGAGATTTTTCAAAAATAATCTTGGGGTCTTTTTAATTCTGGCTCTGAAAGAGAAGAGGCATAGAAAAGAAATGATGGAGCAGCCTATAGCAAAATGCCTGTATAAGTTCTTTGATAGCTGGATTTATAAAACCTAGTTTTATAGTGTTAATACAGCATTAGTGATACTTTGGAGGATCTCTGTGCTTTTTAGCAAGATAATGTGGTGTTGGCATTAAAAATGTAAGTACCTTAAAACTGAACCTAAGTTTGCTTAGATTTGAACTATGAGGAATCCTGATTATATGTAACATACCAGTCAAGGTAATCTTTCTCCATCCTTAGGCTGATTGTAAAACTCCTTCTCTCTCTGAGGGCTGTTTGCATTATTGTCCGTCTTGGAATTAATTGTTCAAGTTTCAGCCTCGTACAATTGGCTTTGTTTGGAATTTTACAAGTTCTCCATTTCTGCTCAGTCAGTAGGCTCTAGCCCCCTGTGTCTGCAGTGCTGTGTAGCAGGTCTGACTGAGTGCTGACACCTGCTGCTTTGTGCTTTGTGTTTGGATCGGTGAGGCTGTAAAGGCCAACTAAGAGTAAAGCAGCAGAGTGATAGGAGCAGGGCAAAACAGAGCTCAGGTGTGTCAGCTGCACTTAGTCTTTTGTCTTCTAATAGCTCTACAGATTGTTTTTCATCTACTGAATTACAAATTTTATTCTGTAAATCACTTCAATTTGAGACAGTGTTTCTTGAATTTTGTGTGTTTGTGGGACTTCCCATTGACCTATCATTTAGAGTCTACAGACTTGTGTAGAAGTGGTTTCAGCTACTGCTTTTTTGTACTTGTCCATGTTTTCTTGCATCCTTCCAGGTTTTAATAGAGTAATGCAGAAAGCATCTTAGTAGTGTGATCTGTCTCTGCACTTCCTGGAGACTAACTCCAGGGCAAATGCTGATTTTAAACGAACTCTGACAAGTACAATTTTCTGACACTCACAAAAAGCGCTGAATATGCAGCAGTAAATAAACTTTGTATTATATTGCTCTTTGTCAAAGCAAGCCAAGTATATATTAGGTAATTTTTGGTCATTTTAGAACATAAGCAGTTAATATACTGTCAGTGTCTATGAAATTGGCAATGATAAACTGTGAAGTTGATGTGTTTAGTTCAGTTATTTTTCTTGAAAAGCTTCAGTCTGTGTAAAATCAGCTACTGCTGGTGTTCAGTTTGGAACGGTAGAGAAGCTTATATTTAGATACTGAAGTGTTTGGGTTTGGATTTTTTGGCCATTTTTGTGGTAATTCTCAGTGAGAATTGCATGACAGATCTAGGGATGAATAACTGGCACTGCTCTGAGGACAGGAGTCGCTGTTGCTGTGAAACTGCTCTGACTACACTTATATTTGAAGAACTCGTTTCCAAATAACTGACTTAGAGCAGTGCTCATAACAAGCCATTTGATTGTAGACTGGTAGTAATAATGAACCATTTGACAGGTGTTGTTAATCTGCAGGAGGCCAGTTAGGATCACTGGCCTGTCCTAAGTGAGCCACTTTTAACTTTGCCTAGGTTTTGTCCCAAACGGACACTGCTAATTACAGAACATGCAGGGCAAGAAGTGCTTATTAAAGCTAGCTAAGCTGTCATTAAGGAACAATGGCATGCTAGTGAAGCTTCAGATGTGTGCTCTGTTCATTGCAGCTAGCTCTTTAGGAATGCTAACTGTAGGTTGCTAGAACTGAAGGTGATTTGAGAACCTGGATAAAACATTTGGTCAAATACGTGTGTTTTAATCAATTGCTTCTGTTGTGCTCTTCCATCTGTTTCTGCCAAATTAGAGACAGTTCTGTTTGCTAAAAATAAACACTGAAACATGTTTTCCTCTACCTTCCTAACTTCAGAACTCTTCAATGACAAAAGCAATACCCATGAATTTGTGAACTTAGTGAAAGAACTGGCCTTACCTGGAGAACTGACCCAAAGCAGAAACTACGACTTCGAATTCATGCAGGTTGAAAAGCCATATGAGTCCTACATCGGTGCCAACGTCAGACTGAGGTTTGTGGCTGTTAGGCCTTCTTTCCTCTGCTCCTCTGCAGAAAGTTCTTAACTTAGCCATTTTGCTGCCCTCCCTTCCTCCTCCTGGTTATTAAACGGGACATGTATCAGCCAGTAGCTACTGTGTCTTGACTGGAGTTGTTGAGGTTGTGTTATAATGAAGCCTTTTCTACTTAATTTGGAATTGCTTGTTGTTTGTATAAATAACATTTTTCAATCTAATCAAGTGAAGACAGTCCATGTCTCTCCTTCAAAAAAGCCAAAATATCCAAACCCAAACAAGACGCTCCCATGTTTCTTCCTATGAGTGGTTTCTCTTGTATTTTGGTGTCTTATTCTTTGGCTTATGAGGCGAGTGGTTTCTCTGGTATATTGGTGTCTTATTCTTTGGCTTATGAGGATGCACACTGGTCTTTCACAGAATGCCTATACTTCAGAACATGAGGGCTTTTACTTAGTAAGTCTGAGTAATGATGGCTAACCAGTGGGTTTCTTCCCAGGTATTTTCTGAAAGTCACAATCGTGAGGCGGCTGTCAGACTTGGTGAAGGAATATGATCTGATTGTCCACCAGCTTGCTACATACCCAGATGTGAACAACTCCATTAAAATGGAAGTGGGCATTGAAGACTGTCTCCATATAGAGTTTGAATACAATAAGTCCAAGTAAGTGTCAGAGCAAAACACATTCAGGTAAATGACTCAGGATAGAAGGGCACAGTGTGTAGTATTTGGTGAACAGCCTTGGTGTCTAGAGAGTTAAAATGCAAAGCCTCATTTTCAATGTTTATTGTGTTGAACTGTTTGCTTGCTAATTATCCAGTGCCCTTTTTTTGAGGGATGCTTGTCTGTTCTGCTCTCAGTACCAACAGAAAGGTCACTAGCAAATATTTGTGACTTGATTTTTGTGTTCATGCCTTTTCAGTTTGGCTGTGGCAATTCCTTTACTACTACTGCAGTGATGAAAATATTCTAGTTGTGCTGATCTGGCTGAGGTGCTTAGCTCAGTGGGGAAGGAAACTCCAGGCAGTCAACAAGCCAATAAGATTAACTTGTAGTCAAGAAGGTGTAAAAGCTGTGTTCATTCTTTAATGAAAATCCCCATTCTGTTCTTTTAAAGGTATCACTTAAAGGATGTGATTGTTGGAAAAATTTATTTCCTCTTAGTGAGAATAAAAATTCAGCACATGGAGTTGCAGCTGATCAAAAAGGAGATTACTGGAATTGGTAAGAGAAGCAAAGTCCAAAAGAAATGGCAGCTGGTATACCAGCTGAGCCTTATGCAGACCTGGAGAGTGAAGTCAGTAGTTGCATCTTTGGCTAAACCAGTGCTCCATGCACTTCTTTCTCTCTGGTCTTTGACCACCACTTGCCTTTGTGCTTTGGTAATAATACTTAGTAGTTAGCATTGTTAGTCTGTGTCATTGGGTTTGGGTTTTGACTCTTGGACTGGCTCCACAGATGTTAACCCTTGTGAATAGAACTTGGGCATAAATATGCAGCAGCCTAATCAAGCCTAATAGATAATGAACAAGGGAAAAGGTATAAGAAGCATCCTGAAGACCCCCTTGCCTCTGCAGAGATTTAGCTGGTCAAGTGGGCATGGTCAACATTGGCATAAATCTGTTGTGTTCTAGAAATGTCATTTTCAGTCATCCTAAAACTGATCTGGTGGAAATACCAAGAGGCTTTGAAGTGGAAACATCCTGATTATTGCAGATCAGGCTTGTAAACCCTGAACTAGGAAGACAGTAGAAGGCTGTGGCTCCAGAGTGGCTGGGGTTCTCCTGAGCTGCTTGCATGGTGAATGAGAGAGCCTCCCTATCAATGGAGGAAGGGCAGAAAGCTCTACTGTGTTCTTTCTGGGGAAAGGTGACTCTTGTGTTGGCTAATTAACCCTCCAGGTTTCTAGTCTGAGCATGGCCTACCAGTATCAGTCACTAGCATTGCCCACCAAACAGAACAGTTCCACAATTCCTGCCCCTTGTGCCTGTCCCTGGTTTACCCCTTGCCTATCCTATCCAGGGCTCCTTTGAAGCTCTGGAGACTACCCCTTCCTGTGTCGGCATGGGGAAGAGAGAGGAAGAAGGAGATGCTCTGCCTGGGAGGAGAGGGTTTTACTTGCTTAAGCCATGTCTAACTTGCATGCAAGACAAAGAAAAAGTGCAGTGTTGTGTAACTGAAGTGCTGCAGAGTGGAATTTGCTGTGATAAAGCTCTGTAAGTGTTTAAAGCTGAAATGCATGTTCTCACAGTGCAAACTTGTTTCCCCAGGACCCAGTACCACAACAGAGACTGAAACCATTGCGAAGTACGAAATAATGGATGGTGCACCAGTGAAAGGTAAATAACTGCTTGTTTCAAGGGGTGAGCATTCTGAGTAAAACTGTATCTAGAAGACCAGGGGGAGAAGAGATGACTTAAATATCTTTTTTCTCTGGAGAAACCATACTTCTCCTTGGGTTGTTGAAATGATGGTGGGTTTTTCTATTCGAAGCAGACAATTTTATTTACCTAGGGCATTGCACTTGGGATCCCAGTAACTTTGACCCTTATTTACCATTGGAAATTGTGTGTCTGATCCTTTTATCAAACCTGACTCCATGGTGTAGACCAGCTCTAGAGAGGTCCAGACACTGATCCTTATGGCATTAAAAAAAATGCCAGGCTCCAGAAAGGGTTCCCACTTTCCATTTCATACCTGTGCTCAGTGCTGTGTTTCTGGTTTTGATTTTGTATGTTTGGGGTTTTTTTCTTTAACCAAGGAAGGGGTCCAGACAGTGTGGGAAACTGCCTCTATTTCACATTTCTGAAACTCTGTGAATGACATGCAGTTTTAAGGAGCTAATTTAAGCTTTTTTTTTTCTTTTTTTTAAAGGGTTCCCACTTTCCATTTCATACCTGTGCTCAGTGCTGTGTTTCTGGTTTTGATTTTGTATGTTTGGGGTTTTTTTCTTTAACCAAGGAAGGGGTCCAGACAGTGTGGGAAACTGCCTCTATTTCACATTTCTGAAACTCTGTGAATGACATGCAGTTTTAAGGAGCTAATTTAAGCTTTTTTTTTTCTTTTTTTTTTTTTTTTAAGGTGAATCAATTCCTATAAGACTGTTCTTAGCAGGCTATGACCCAACTCCTACAATGAGGGATGTGAACAAAAAATTTTCAGTGAGGTACTTCTTAAATCTTGTGCTCGTGGATGAAGAAGACAGACGATACTTCAAACAGCAGGTATGGGCTATCCCAGCCTTGTTGCAGAATTACCTGAGCTGTGGTACATGCTGCTTTGAACCTTCAGCACATTAGAGGCCACCTGTGCTTCATGCATGGCATGAGCATTTCTGCTGACAAAGTGTATTGGCTGCTCTGCAGGTGATGTTAGCCTGCAGAAAGGAGCCAAGGGGGATGGTGGATGCTGTTTCAGCAAGGACAGGGTGCTGAGTGCCATGGCATTGTGAATATCCAGACAAAACACTTCCTGGGTAAAATTTGTTTGCTTTCTTAAACTGCTGTAGAGTGACATCCCCTCCCAGCATTAACCCAGGTTCAAAACTGAAAAATCTTCATAATGACTAAGACTTTTGATGGAAAACTTTACAACAGTTGAGGTGCTGCTAAGGAAAGGAATAGACAAAATCATCACTGGAATGAAGCTCTGTGGATTAGATCAGAATCCTCCTACTAAAGAATAGACAAGGCAGTAGAATTAAACATGGAAAACAAGAGGTAGCTGGAGCACAGTGGGTATGATGATGGCTTTGGGCTTTGAGAAAAAGAGGAACAAAAATTTCTTGAAACCTTTAATACTGTTGAAGTTGGAGTAGGATATGTAAGGAACAGGTGACTGCTCCAGACTGATAAAGGTAGGTGTTCAGGCAGTAACTAAACTTAATTGTTTGTGCTGGAACTTAATCTTTCTGTACTTTCATATGACTGCACTGTCTGTAAGTAATGGGGCTGCAGAATATTTTGTGGAGAGTGGTGTTTGGGTATCTTTTTCCCCAAGATCTTTATCTATCAGGAAGTTCAGACACTTGATGCTGCTGCCTTAATGGTAAATGGTGGTTTCAAGAGTGTTTTCTTCCTTAAACAGGAAATAATTTTATGGAGAAAAGCACCTGAGAAGCTGAGGAAACAACGAACAAACTTTCACCAGCGATTTGAATCTCCAGAGTCACAAGCATCTGCTGAGCAACCCGAAATGTGAACTGGTACAGGGTGAAAAACTTTGCAATGCTTCAGCAGGTTGAAGATGGCAGCAGCCTGAGGGAAAAGGAGGCCAAAATTCCCATTACAACTGTCTTCATCTTGCAGTGCTGCATTTACCATACTACTAAAGCATTCTTCAGTTAAACGTTCAAGTATGTATATACATCCAAAATAAAAGTGCTTTCCCAAACACTGGAACTTTCTTAAGCTACTATTTTATACTGCACATTTACTTTGTTTGATAATGTTATATGCACTTGGATTATGCATAAGCTTAAATCTAGTTGTTTTCATGAATGGTAGGCTTGGAGTATTTGATTTTTGCTGCTCACCTCTACAGTGCAGACTATAGCATTACCTTTTTCTCATGTTGTTTATTGCATTTTTCTTTCCAATGTTGCTTGTTTGCATTTATTTTGTTTTGAAGCTGCAGTAAGACACAATTGACTAAATCACACTAAAAATCAAGGTTTATGGTGAATTTGTCCTAATGGCTATGTTAGACGGGGTCTAACTGAAACTGCATGTGTGTGAACTATGACTGTGGTAACTGGAGCCTTCAGACACCTCACCAAGGGTTCCGAGGGGCTTTAGATCTGTCAGTAGCAAAGAATGTCAGGCAGCATCTTTGCCTTTCATGTGAGTCACTCCTGACTTTTGGGGGTTCGTTGCCCAGTAGCTAGTGACTGTGGAGATGTTGTGGGTTCACCTTCAGAGGGAAAATATGAACGTACTTATCTCTTGTATGCTGGTAACATGAATGATTTTGCACATATGTGAACTGTGTTTCCTCCTGGCTTCATACTAGCACTGTCATCACAGTCTGTCTCCTCAACTGTCCTGACAGGAGAGGCAAAACACCCTCAAAGGATTTATCCTTCAGGGCCTGTTAAGAGGGCAAAACAAGCTTTGTGCTCTTCTGGAAAGGCATTTTGAAGCCAGACAAGCGTTAAAACTCGGAAGCTAGTCTGGCACAACAGACTGTTTTGTCTTTATCATCATCTCATGGGCATTTAGTGTTCGATGAAGTAGCTTAAAGGAGTTAGGTCGCAACAGAGCGCGGTGTCTGGCGTCAGGCACGGGGTGTGGGTGCGAATCGGGGCCTGCTGTGAGGAAGGTGACTTGCACTGCACTTGGCCTTCAAGCCAAGGCTTCTTCACTCTGCTGCAAGCGTCATTGGTAACCTTACTTTATGAGTAAGTAAATAATGAAATTACGTTTCTGTAAGAACTGTTTTGTTACTATGGCACTTTGATAAAGCAAAGACTCTGTGTACTCTGTGCTAGGATACTCCTAGAGTTGATATCTTTGACCGAGAGCAAATCCAACTCCCTCATCTAAGTGCCTGTTCACAGACCTAAAAAGAATAAAGTTAAAAAACAAAAAGCCAAATATTTTCATGGTCCACTTGCATGCTGTAACCTGCAAACAAATGGTGATTTCAAGAGATTTTTGCAAACCTGATTGTATTTAATCAACCTCGGATTGTGCAACCACGTGTAACGAGCGGGAACCCTCCTGAGCTGCTATTTGAGTTATTAAACCGCTGTTCTTCTCACTAACCCCTGGTGCTCTGTCTTCTTGGGGACGTTTCCCGGCCGGGGGCGGGGGCGGGGGCGGCACGGCGCTCGCGCGGTGATGACGCGGTGAT